ATGTATGTATGTATGTATGTATGTATGTATGTATGTATGTATGTATGTATGTATGTATGTGTGTATGTATGTATGTATGTATGTATGTATGTATGTATGTATGTATGTATGTATGTATGTATGTGCGTGTGTGTGCCTCGAGACTCGTCACTGACTGAGTGATGCTAGCCTTCTTTTGCCATTCATAGTTGCAATGCTATGCTGGTGCAATGCTTGGTGGTACGAGGCAAACTCGATCCCGACATCTCTCTTCATTTGACACGAATCCAGTGGTTCTCGTCTTCTAGGAGAGTTGGTGCTAGGGACTTAAGCAAACTGCTGAGGATTGAAAAGCAATCTCAAAATGAGGGAGTCAATGATCTGTTGCGGCCATCGTGCTGCCATTGCAACCCTTGATCGGTGATATGGCATGTGACGGGAACAAAGATGATTAGTGGTAGAAAGTACCCTAAAATTCCATAAATAAGAGCAGGTGAACCCACCGGTAGTAGTAAGAAAGAAAGAACTGGTGAGAGCTGATAATGGAGGTGAGGGAGCAAATACTAAGGAATTACTTCCTCTACTCTGATAGTAAGGAAGACTTGCTTCTTCGCCTCTGTAGAGAGTGACTCGATTGCAGATATCAGGGAATATGGTATCACTCAGAGAACGCCGATCAGGAATGTTAGAACGACAAAACCTCTAGATCTTTTTGAGATGCATAAGGGGGCCAAAATATCAATACAACTCTTGTTTTCCAGTACTCGCCGTTTGGTGAAGCTTTTGCTCCTGTAACTTGTTCGGCTTATCAACATAATGAACTCAATGAACTCGCCTCGTGTATTGACGCTGTGTGAATCAGAAGATAGAAGTCGGAGACGAGCGGATAAGTAGATGTTAATCATTTGCTGCTCGTTTAGTTTACTCCACTAGCGTTTCAGTTGTTTAGTTGTTATTGCAGTTTTGTGTTCCTGACCGGCTGTGTTTTCGAATAAACATCAGAGAGCAGAATTCCTATTAGCCTCAAAATTTGGAAGCTTCAGAATGTTTTCATAACGTATGTTAAAATATGTAGAGGATTTTCGGATGTCAATGTAATCTAGTAAAGAAAACTACTAAAGAGAAATACTGATATTCGGATTACGAGAGACACCTACCGAAGTATTGAGAACACATCAAGGGTAACTCTCTCACCCTCACAGCAATCCACACCTATGAATACACATATGAAATGGTACTATCTACAACCTTGTATATTATTCTCTTACCAGTTTTATCGCCTACGCCGGGCCGCATTCCTTACTCTACAAAGTGTAAGAAAATGTAATTAGATGGAGGAGAGGCATAGCTTCTATCGAATACTGAGGGCTACAGTGCAAAGTAGGGGTAGCCGACCTTAACTGTGCTTGGAAACGGTTCTAGGCAAGAGAATATGGTTTTAATTTAAGCCTTAGGAGGGGTTGGGGCGAGATGATTACCTTGTGCAGAAAGCCAGGATGGAGTATGAGTTAAATATTCAATTGACTCACCCACCGCGGTGCTCCTTTCCTCTTGAAGCTCAGGTCAAAAAACTGTATAGTCTTGGCTAGGAAACGTTAATGAGCACAATTACTATGGGTATTCCTCGTCTGCGCTCTAGCGCTCAATGTTGAAAGAGAAGCGCAGGTCTCCCAACTACAGTATCACCTCCATTTTTGTATAACACATGTAAAATTGCCACTCGTATCAAACGGGCAAAGCCCATCACCAACATAGTCATAGACATTCCGCGAGGGCATAGGCATGACACGTGAAATCATTGCGATTAACTACTATGGGAGCCATGAAGTTTCATAACCGAGTACTTATGGGGAGAGCAGAGTTTGGGCCGGTCTCTAGTGCCCTCGAGCTCTGCATCATATTCGTCGTGCTTGCGCACTGTTGATCATTTCTACTCAAAATTTTTGTAACCTGTGTGGTTATGGTGGAAGTTATGGCAAGAGTCTCTAATGATCAAATCATCAAATCAATAATCTTAGCGCCTGTGTGTGCGTTTCTGCTCAGTAAGAGCGTTCAAATCCGAAAAGGCTATGAGCAAATGGAGGGACGGTGTGTGCAGTAAAATTTTCTCTGAGCTCAGACCTAGAGCGTACATGTTTGGGAGGTATTCGTTTGCGTTTGGATGCGAATGCTGATGGTAGATTCATGGAGTGCACCCTGTTCACGAGGCCAAGAGCGCACGAAATAAGCATTTAAAGCACACCAATTACACTGCACATCGACTAAAAATGCAAAATGTCGAGACAGTTTAAGATACAAATCGAAGCGAAAGGATGTGAAAACGTTCATAGCAGGTGGGCTGGCCACTGAATCGCGATGTCTTCACTTTGAAAACTGTGATTTATGCTTTTGGTGTACTCACGTGCTGAGCGTTTATCTATCCAGTTCCTCCCTTCATACCGACTTCATTTGCTAAGTGCCTGGATCGTTTTATTTCTTATCATTTAGCAGTTGATGTCGACTAAATTTTCATCTGTTGTTTAAGCTCTCAATCTAATAATCTGTTTTGCTCTACGCCAAGTAGTTCCGATGCTACTATCATGGCTGTGGACGTCGTCCGTTTCGTTAGCCGGCATCATTGGGTCAACATAGTAAATTTGTTCCGATTTATTTTAACATTGAATGAATATTTCTCTTGTCCTTGCTCCGCTCCAGTTTCGCCGGGAGAAGGGGCATAGGATGAATTCGTCCGACAGAACGAATAGGTACGGGATCGTTCTCATCGTCAGTGGTGCATCGTACCGCCCCACACCACAAAACGACCATAAATTTTGATATTTCCTTCGAGCTGGAGGACCAGATTAGCACTGTACTAGCGGTAATCGAATGACTTTTGTACGCCCCTCAGTTTCCAGTTGCTCGATAGAATAGCAAACACTAGTAATAATAACTTGACTGATACCTATGAATAACTAGATCGTAGGCGTGCTGTCGTTTTGATCAGATAAGGGGATATGATACCCCTCCTTCACCGGATAGGGTGTTATATAACTCCCCATGTGTTAGGCATATTTTTCATTATTTCCTGTCGATTGTCGCACAGTGGTCATTTATCGAAAGGGACGTGTGTGTTCGATAATGCTCGTTCTTTGAAAGTTGTTTCCCTTCATCATCATTTGCTTCTTGCCAGAAAGGCGCTTCTTATCAAGTTTTTTCTAAAGAAAAGACTTCTTGTCAGGGCTCCATTGTTTCAGATTGAACGTTACCGTTAAAACTGACAGGCTTTCTCTTTTGGTGTCTCATACTTCTGTGACTAGCAAAATTGATGTTCTTAACCAGGTAAATTCTTTGGTGTCCGATACTTGGGCGAACAACGATGCTGAGGTGGGAAAAATATACGGCCTCAAGGGAATACCGTGTCACCTATACAATATTTACAGACTAATATTGGATTAATTGTTAAGAACACCAAAGAATAACCTTTCTTCTCAAAAAAGAAAATGATATCATTGCGTTGACCGAAGCTCGACTGCATGATGGGGCAGGTGATTGCTGAGTGGTAGCTGCATTCTGCGCACAGTGGTTAGATGTGATCGTAAATTCAGAGGAGGTGTGGCGTTGTTGATCGTGGGACCTTCTTCTCTGAGGTTATTTTAAAGGCACACTTCACGATCAAAATGGTATTAAGATAAATCTATGGTTTCTCTTATACTAAATGTGGCGCTGCTAGGTTTGAAAATGGTCTATATAGGGCCTTATGAAGGCCCAAAAATTGTGCAGCGTGTATGGGCGGACGAATTCCAACAGCATTGTAGAGGCTGCACCACTCGCAAGACCATCAATGTAGGAGGTTCAAACAACTTGTCATGACCCATAGCGACAGTGAAGGGCAATTCGGGACAGTTTTAGCTCGATGCAGTCAGCTCTTCGCGCAACTACAACAATCGAAATCTATGTAGTCAAATTCCCCTTCCATGACACTTCCGTCATGGTAATCTCGAACAACCACTATTTTCACTGCTTTTGAGGAGCCCTATCTTTCGAGGTTATCGAATTTTTTCTCTTCCTTCTCTATCCATGCACCTTCAACTCAATACTTACGCTTTTTGACTTGAAAAGGTACCTCAGAATCATCGTGGACTGTGACCTTCATGAATATGTTCCTAATGGTTATGTGGTCTTCTGCTGTGGTTTGCAAGCCGGTTACGACGTAACACATTTCATGCTTTCTATACGGCACCCGATTGCAGAGTCATATTGAGGATCATTTACTCGAAGCTGTTGCTCATGTCATTGTAGGTCGAACTGTATCGTGACTGGAGATTTCAAAATCTGAAAAGAGAGTGCATACGTTTGAATCACAGCACATTCAAAAATGTTTTGGATGATGCATGAGTCAGTAAGGCTTCCTGTACTATTCCTAATAATTATTCCATTTGATGGGAATGACTGTTGCATTCCTTCTGAATTGGATACATAATTACATATCGTCATATATTTATATCGCACATATTGTAATGTTCGCTGCTACGCTTTATAAATGGCACCAAAGCGACATCGTCCAAAACGAGTTTACTTGCGTATCTCGAACATGGGTAATCGAACCGATCAAATCATATCATAAATCAAAGGAATAATTAATAAGGAAGACCAGTAGAAAAAGAGATCAGTAAATAATTGTGCTCTAGGAGGAATGGTTTCGTGGCTATAGGCACCTATCTTTGAGTCCGAAGCTGTTAAATTTGGCGCAAATCCGATATTTGTCGCATGTAGAAGATCATGAAAAATAACTGTGATCGCGGTTCAACAACCGCGATATTCCCTACAAAAGCATGAAGGCGCATTAAGTTAGGGGCAAAGACTTTCGAATGTGACGCACTTAGTTAATGGTCAACTCCATGATAGGCCAGTTCACCTCGAAGATTATGTAGCTTGTTCAAGCTCCTTCCTTCACATGCTTTTTCCAAACGTGTGAGAATATATTCACTCTGGCACTGGAAATCGCACAGCGAACTGCTTTGACCTTGTTTGCGACAATAATAGCATGGAGCGAGATATTCCTTGCAGGTTGGTCCACGGGAGCACATTCGTTCAAGGCGCGTACAGCACCAATCAGCAACTGCCATCAGTTTCATCAGTATGGGTCGCGGAAAGCTGCTCAGGAATTTGAGTAGTGGATCCCTGAAGCCTCACAAAAGCCATCACAAGGCGTTCGCATATTTGTGTTCACGCTTGCTATGCTAAGGCAAACGCAGTGAAGGACAACCTTCTAAAATCAACACAATAGATCATGCTCAACAAAAGATAAAAGCAGTAGACGAACGAGCAAACTAAGACGAAAATCATATAACACATAATGCAACATCAATCCAGGCATTGGAGAAAGACACAAATATGAAATCAATTGACCAGTCTTAGGAAACGAGGAAAGCTCATGCTTGCTTGCTTGCTCAGAACCACTGTCATATTACACTTGAACCTATTCAGACTTCGGGGCCGACCAGATTTTTGGTCACTTTTATATACAAAATGCCAGCTCTGAAGGTGAAGATTCCGGCTCTTGAACTTGTTCTAGGCCTAAGAAGAGTAATTTCAGTCTGCCCTCCTCTCGTTCGAGAATGTGTTGTATTACAAACATCAAAGGAGCAAAAGTCATAACACTGGTACAGAAGCTTGTGAACCATACACACATCAAACAACTTGCGCCGTGATTCAAATGTTGAGAGTTCAGGATATCCATCACGAATGGAGGCTCTAGAATACCAAAATAGGGACCTACACCGACGTCGGAAAAGAATTTTACGTGTGAAGTTATTTTGTACTTTTCCAGGGGCAATGACGTCCTTCCTCCTGTTAGGATGGAACACTGCAGCACCACTCTCAACCAGAAGGCGAACATACATATGTCTTATAAGCTTTGAGGAGGATGGCTTGTTCGTGGTAGACCGCCTCTTGAGAAACTTTATACCTTAGTAATGTGTCCTTGGCCAGAGAGACGTGGTGGACAATGGAGTTCATGTTCGTCGTTGTTCGTTGTTGTTGTTTGTTCGTTGTTCGTTCTTCGAAGTGGCTAACCGTCTTTTCAGCATTGGGAATTTCTTGTCCGATTTGGATCGCTCTCCATCTGTCGTTTCGCCTTCAAGGAATATCATCGAAAATATTGTTGCGACCCAGTTCTCCATCATCCAACTCGCGCTCCTCTGTCCTTGTTCTTCAAGCTCCTCTTCACTTTCTTCCGTCTCCGAAAGGTCATCGTGCTTCACGTTGGGAACCATATCATCATCGTCCTGATTTTGGTCTTCGCATTTTTGTTCCCGCTACCGCTACGACTACCTACCGCTTCACTTTCATCCGTTTCCACCACTCCTTCGATGAAGCCTTCGTTGTCTCTTATTATTTCGTCCTTGCTGTGCTTTGCGGGAGAAAGCATTCATGACATTATCCTGAAAACTCAGAGTATGCTTTTGCGTATGATCGAGACTATCTCGAATTTCTGCTTCAAATGTCAAGCGTTCTTTCTCCGTATCGCCTAGAGCCTCTATGTGAAGATCGTTGAGTGAAGAACGAAGAGAATCCAACATATGA